CCCCCCCCCCCTTTTTTTTTTTTTTTTTTTTTTTATTTAATAAAATCACGACATGTAAATTTTATTATTTTACAATTAATGGTTACAAACAAATTAAGGGGAAAAAAAAACAAAAGAATGGAAAGTATTTCATTACAATATTGAAAAATTATTTTTTAATACCATAATGTAATGAAAAATTGTACCCACCTTCTGTATAATATGAAAGTTACATAATTATAAGTTACAAGCTTTTTGAGGGCATAAGTTACAATTTATAAAATACCTATTGATTATAACAGGTCGCTAAAAATATAATTTTTAAAAATTAAGTTCGTTATCCATGACCGAGAGTTATNATACCTATTGATTATAACAGGTCGCTAAAAATATAATTTTTAAAAATTAAGTTCGTTGTCCATGACCGAGAGTTATCACATTGACTATCAACAATAATATTTTTTAGTATGGTACTAAAAAAAAAAAAAAACTATAGTCCTGGTGTTACATATATAGATGATTGTAGTAGACCTGTGCATGTGACAGCACATCCACATCCCTGGTTCTCTGTGCACTATTAGGTTTGAAATTGTAAATACCAGGTGTTGGTATGGAACAGGTACACATGGTGGACGGCGAGGAAGGGACTCACACCCAACATTCGGCGAGAGCATTTTCCCAGTTGCTGGCTTAGAATAATTTTCAAGCATCAAATGGCACATGCGGATACGTCTTCTTTTGTACAATACCAATTATCACCAAAACGCAACACTCCTTTTACAATAAAATCACCAATTTCAGAAGCAGCATAGACAAATCTCACCCCAAAACTTTCATTGATATACCAAACCTAGGTGTAGTTCTAAACCTTACATGTCTGTCAACAGTCTCAATCATAGGCAGGCATACATTACAATCAAAGGACAGCAAAAATTATGAAGTATTGAGAAATGCATATGAATACAGAAAACAGGAAGTTCAGCATGACCAAAGTAAAAGATGACAATTGCCAAGTAACAAGTTCTAGGTCCTGCTTGATAAAGAAATTAATGTTCGTTAACAATATAGTTTTACCAAGAAAAACTAAAAGATAAAAAAAAAGTTCATGGAGTAGAAGAAGCTTAGCAGGACTAAGTTTCTTTCATAGGGACCTTCTTGGCTGCCTCTGCGGCTGCTTTCTCTGCTTCAATGTCAGCAACTATGGAGTCAATTTCGGCTTCTTCAAGTTGTCGTAGTCCATGCTCTTTTGTCATCACAGCAACTTCTATGTTCTTTCCCCCACTCTCAACAACCTAATCATAGGATTGTTTATTGCACGTAACTATCAATGCATCACTTCATGGAAAAAACTTACATAAGAAAACATAAAGGTATTGGATATCAAATCACCCTTTCTCCCAATCATTAAAAAAAAATAAGAATGCAAAAAATAAATAAATTTTTAAGGTACTTATTTGTATTTCGGGGTTTCGCANTCTATGTTCTTTCCCCCACTCTCAACAACCTAATCATAGGATTGTTTATTGCACGTAACTATCAATGCATCACTTCATGGAAAAAACTTACATAAGAAAACATAAAGGTATTGGATATCAAATCACCCTTTCTCCCAACCATTAAAAAAAAATAAGAATGCAAAAAATAAATAAATTTTTAAGGTACTTATTTGTATTTCGGGGTTTCGGAGGCACATGTTTAAGAAGAAACTTAGGAAACTTAGATGAGTCCATCAGAAGTAAAGATGGCTTGAAGCAAATATTGCCAAAGGGTTTCTCAATAATTTCAAAGAGATCAGTTTGACGTAGGTGAAAGTTAACAGGGCTGTTGGCTATATGAAATGGACAAACACAGTGTTCTCATTGGGTGGCCAACTCAAATGAGAGGAGATTAATGGGACTGTTAAAAAAAAGGAGTTATTGGAATGTGGACAAGGTTAGATGTTTCAGACGGNACAAACACAGTGTTCTCATTGGGTGGCCAACTCAAATGAGAGGAGATTAATGGGACCGTTAAAAAAAAAGGAGTTATTGGAATGTGGACAAGGTTAGATGTTTCAGACGGGATGAGAATGGCTTCCATACCTATTGTTACATGGTCAGGTGATAAATTTTGTCTGCTTGTTTCTCAAAAAAGGAAACTATGTTTCACACTAATAATGGATTTGTTTACTGGGCTCAGAAGATAATTCCTAAATTGAAAGTAGAAACAACCATAAGTGGTTCTTAACTACATATGCATCTGATTGATCATGTCAACTGTAGTTTCAGTTTAGGTGTTCTGCGCCAAGATGTCCTCAAGGGATAAGTGGGGGAACTGGATGTCAGTCTATATTGTGTATCTTCTGCCGTATAAAAATATATATATATATATTCTTCTCCTTGTCATTGATGAACTGACACAATTGATGCCCTTTTGCAAATTCTTGCTATTGGAAGTGGAGGCACTCAAAGAATATTTAGGCAAGGAAGAAAATTAGAATGAGAGTGAGTATGTTGGAATAATATCCCATTATCTGTGTGTCAACCGNAACTGGATGTCAGTCTATATTGTGTATCTTCTGCAGTAAAAAAATATATATATATATTCTTCTCCTTGTCATTGATGAACTGACACAATTGGTGCCCTTTTGCAAATTCTTGCTATTGGAAGTGGAGGCAATCAAAGAATATTTAGGCAAGGAAGAAAATTAGAATAAGAGTGAGTATGTTGGAATAATATCCCATTATCTGTGTGNCTGCGCCAAGATGTCCTCAAGGGATAAGTGGGGGAACTGGATGTCAGTCTATATTGTGTATCTTCTGCCGTAAAAAAATANAATAATGGATTTGTTTACTGGGCTCAGAAGATAATTCCTAAATTGAAAGTAGAAACAACCATAAGTGGTTCTTAACTACATATGCATCTGATTGATCATGTCAACTGTAGTTTCAGTTTAGGTGTTCTGCGCCAAGATGTCCTCAAGGGATAAGTGGGGGAACTGGATGTCAGTCTATATTGTGTATCTTCTGCCGTAAAAAAATATATATATATATATTCTTCTCCTTGTCATTGATGAACTGACACAATTGATGCCCTTTTGCAAATTCTTGCTATTGGAAGTGGAGGCACTCAAAGAATATTTAGGCAAGGAAGAAAATTAGAATGAGAGTGAGTATGTTGGAATAATATCCCATTATCTGTGTGTCAACCGTGCAATGTCACTAATGCTACACAATTCCGGCAATCTTACTCATAGTCTGTTGAATCAAGTATTGACACTCTTCAAGAAGAAACAAAATTAAGGCATAAAGATCGAAGAACAAAAACGACAGAGGTTGCAATCGAATGCTAAACAGAAACATTGGTAGTCAATTGCTAGCATGAGGATTACTGAAGATGGTACAACAGTTAAAACTATTCAATTTTAGTTGGGAGCAATGCAATGATCAACTTCAAAGTATAAATAATTAAACTACACTCTCTCACTTGAAAGCAGCACAACTATCACCTTTCAAAGTATAACACCATAAAGAGGCTATGCAAGAGCAGTACACACTACACAGCCAAACTCAAATTCAAAGTGAAGTATATGTGTGCGCGCGCGTGTATTGACAACTTACTTCAAGCAAAGCACGAATGGCTAACTTCAAGGTTTCCTGTCCGGACGTTTCCTTGTAATTCTTCTCCAAAAATTCCCGAATCGAATTTGAGTTTCTTCCAGTCGCATTGGCTTTCCATGCTGAAAAAGTCCCTGATGGATCTGTCTGATAAAGCAATGGAACACCAGTGTATGGGTCAAAACNTGACAACTTACTTCAAGCAAAGCACGAATGGCTAACTTCAAGGTTTCCTGTCCGGATGTTTCCTTGTAATTCTTCTCCAAAAATTCCCGAATTGAATTTGAGTTTCTTCCAGTCGCATTGGCTTTCCATGCTGAAAAAGTCCCTGATGGATCTGTCTGATAAAGCGATGGAACACCAGTGTATGGGTCAAAACCAACAATCAAGGTTGAGAGGCCAAATGGTCTTACACCACCACTTTGTGTATATTTTTGCTGAAGACCAGCAATATAACGCGTTATATATTCAACAGTCACAGGATCCTCAACTGTAAGTCTATGACTCTGACATTCAATGCGTGCCCTATTTATCAGAACACGTGCATCTGCTTTCAGTCCAGCACAGGCCAATGCAACGTGATCATCCAAATTTACGATTTTTCTAACCGATCTGAAAGAAGAGCAACAAAATAGACTGTGAGCAGGAGAATCCTATCACAGCATGCCAAGCATGACGCAGCGCATATAAATGGAAAGCAACANCACAGGCCAATGCAACGTGATCATCCAAATTTACGATTTTTCTAACCGATCTGAAATAAGAGCAACAAAATAGACTGTGAGCAGGAGAATCCTATCACAGCATGCCAAACATGACGCAGCGCATATAAATGGAAAGCAACACAAGGGAGAGACAAGGGAGAGACAAGGCAACGTTATAGCTTTGTCTAGGGTGGTAATCTAAGATGGAACAACATGGAACTCCTCACAGGGAACACAGTCTCAAACTTATTAACTGAAACATCAAAGCCAGAAGTCACATAGTTGTAGCAGAAATGAATGACTATAGCAGACGTAAATGCATGATATACTTACTTATGCAGAGGTGAAACTTTGTCCTCTTATAGTGATCCAGAAGCCTTTTGAACCAACTGGAATAATTTTTTTCTTTGTTGAGGTGGTGTTACGNTAAATGCATGATATACTTACTTATGCAGAGGTGAAACTTTGTCCTCTTATAGTGATGCAGAAGCCTTTTGAACCAACTGGAATAATTTTTTTCTTTGTTGAGGTGGTGTTATGTAGCACAGGGGTATGTCTGGAAATCAGCTCTTATATGCTTCTTTCAGTTGGTGCAGAAGGAGAGGAATCTGAGATCATTTGAGTGGGTGGAGTCTTCAGTGACTAAAGTGAAACATCTTCTTAACAGTTTATTTTCCTAGTCTCTGAGGGTAAACATACTTTGGGTTAAATCATCAAGAGCTAGCTTTCTTTGGCATTTTATTTTTTCTTTTCTCGATTCTTGTATGTTCTGTGTTAATCCCCTTTTTAATGTTCCTACACTTATTTATTAGGAGAAAAATGTAAATGATTAGAAAATAAGTTTTTTATTATATGAATTATATGCATACCTTTGTATTTAGTTAATGGCAATGTATCAGACTAAGAACTGTGCAATGTATTAGTTCACTCAGTCTCAAAAGACAGGTCCGAAACAACAATGGTCAAGCCATACCTGCCGAAACGAATAACTGTCTACTTATAATGTTCATATTCCCGTATATCCAAACAGGTGCCAAAGGCAAGTTTCCAAATACTTGGGGCTATTTAGCTCAGGATCATACTCCACCTATCAAAGATCCAAATCTTAAGCTTAATTCCGTGAGAGCCTTCCTTATTTCCAAATATGGAAACCGGATCTGCAGACTGCTTATATTCCCTTATATTTGTATCACTCAAACTAGGGCCGGCCTCTCAATTGAAGATGCCAACCGTAAAGATAGTCAGTCACATGTAGATCCAGTGCTTAATCTAGTTACGCATTATCTCCCAGTTATTAAATTAAATTTAAGATTCAATTAAATCTATTTCCCCCAATATATACCAAAATAAATGAAAACCGGAGCAGGATTTGACGGCAGTTACTCAACATTCAATAAACTTATGTCTTGGTAAAGTAAAATTCAAATTATACAAAGAGAAAGGGATCAATCATCGTTAAAGTCCCAAATGAACAATGCTATTACAGGTACATATTCATATATAATCATATAACATTGGCCTAAGTCTAATTTTCGTCGTATCAGTGCCGGAACTGAAGGAGTCACAAAATTCCAAACATCAAAATAAAGAAGGTGGAACAGAACATTTAAAAACCCTAGACGCCAAATTCATGAAAGTAGTTCGCAAGCATTGTAGAATTGATCGTTACAATGAACTGATGATAAATAGTAACTAAATACCGGGTGTCTTGAAGCTTGGGGGTGGATTTCTTCTCGACAGCGAGGACGATGGTGTCGGTGCCACGGACGCCGACAACGGCGTTGCCTTTCCGTACAGCTTCAAGTGCATATTCAACTTGGAAGAGATGGCCGTCCGGCGAGAACACCGTGATCGCCCTGTCGTATCGAGCCATTTATATATGCTCCGATGAACTTATGTATTTCAGATCTTACTTTTCCGATCTGTGCGATCGGAGAGAGTGCAGAAGAGACAATAGAGTGAACTTGCACTGCAAGGCAGTTGAAATTAAGCCAATCCGNGATGAACTTATGTATTTCAGATCTTACTTTTCCGATCTGTGCGATCGGAGAGAGTGAAGAAGAGACAATAGAGTGAACTTGCACTGCAAGGCAGTTGAAATTAAGCCAATCCGTAAATGGTGTCGTATTTTTCTTACCAGCCTACCAAACGGGCCTTAAGTGGGTCTAGAAGAAAAACAGAGGCCCAAAACCTTACTCATGGGTAATCTCTGACTCCAAAATTGGGCCTATCAGAAATATAGCGGGCCAAGGCCTTGCTCAGGGGCAATCTGCCACCATGTGGTGGGCTGGCTCATTTCCCCTTCTTAATGTTTCATGCCCAATTTGCCACAGTCCTTCAATGTCTCGCACACGCCCCAAGATCAAGAGCCAATAGCTGTACTTTGGTAAGATCAACAGTACTAAAGCAGCCGAAGGTAAATGGAAGGGTAATTTGCAAAACACACCCTCAAAGTTTGGCTCCAATTCCAATTTGATCCCTGAAGTTTGAGTTTAAATAATTATATCCTTAAAATTTTAATTGAATTACGATGCTGTCTTTTGGTCCAGATCCGTTCAAATCTGCTATCGGAATATCATCACATGATATCAACGTGACATGGCAGAGGAGTACTAACATCCAAACAAAATATTTTCCACCCATGGTTATATTTGATTTTTCATCTTTGATCTATCTGCTAAGGCTAAAATAGAAGCATCAGTGCGAAATATCAACATAAAGACGCTTAGATATTTTTGGTAAAAGAGGGATATATTGAATGAGATTCTTAAACTTCCCTAAAGATTGACACAACAATACGAAAAGAAATGTTAAATGACAATCTCAAATTACAACTTGTCATGTATTTATCTGTTGCTATCACGTGATGATATCCTGTTTGCATATTTCAATAGATATGGACGGAAAGACAACATTGCGACTTAAATCACAATTTTAAGGACTTAATTATTCAAGTTTAAACTTTAGGGACAGAATTCAAACTTTAAGGGTGTGTTTTGCAAATTACCCTAAATGGAAATTTCTTCAGCAAACCCACGGTCCATTTCGTTTATTGATCAAACACTGACCAAGTTCATCAACAAAAGTAGAAGAGCGGCAAACCAGATCCTAAATAAGCAACAAACAAATAACCAAACTATGAAAACATAACAGATGGCCATAGGGGTGTTAATCGAGACTAGTTACTTGAGCTTGGCTCGGGTTCGATTCAAATACAATTTAGTTTAAGTTCGACTTGCGTTTTAAACAAATTGAGTTTGAACAATTTTTTAAATTCGTTTAAAAAAATAAGTTTAAAAAGTTCAGCTCAACCTCGCAAAACTCGACTCGTTTATATATTAATTTATTTAATCGGTAACATGGTAACAGGTAAATCTAAACCCCCCACATAGATTAGCCTAGTATTAGAAAGACAATTGTCTATATAAGATTTGTAGCAAGTTGGTCTCCCCACTTANACAAGGGAGAGACAAGGCAACGTTATAGCTTTGTCTAGGGTGGTAATCTAAGATGGAACAACATGGAACTCCTCACAGGGAACACAGTCTCAAACTTATTAACTGAAACATCAAAGCCAGAAGTCACATAGTTGTAGCAGAAATGAATGACTATAGCAGACGTAAATGCATGATATACTTACTTATGCAGAGGTGAAACTTTGTCCTCTTATAGTGATGCAGAAGCCTTTTGAACCAACTGGAATAATTTTTTTCTTTGTTGAGGTGGTGTTATGTAGCACAGGGGTATGTCTGGAAATCAGCTCTTATATGCTTCTTTCAGTTGGTGCAGAAGGAGAGGAATCTGAGATCATTTGAGTGGGTGGAGTCTTCAGTGACTAAAGTGAAACATCTTCTTAACAGTTTATTTTCCTAGTCTCTGAGGGTAAACATACTTTGGGTTAAATCATCAAGAGCTAGCTTTCTTTGGCATTTTATTTTTTCTTTTCTCGATTCTTGTATGTTCTGTGGCAATCCCCTTTTTAATGTTCCTACACTTATTTATTAGGAGAAAAATGTAAATGATTAGAAAATAAGTTTTTTATTATATGAATTATATGCATACCTTTGTATTTAGTTAATGGCAATGTATCAGACTAAGAACTGTGCAATGTATTAGTTCACTCAGTCTCAAAAGACAGGTCCGAAACAACAATGGTCAAGCCATACCTGCCGAAACGAATAACTGTCTACTTATAATGTTCATATTCCCGTATATCCAAACAGGTGCCAAAGGCAAGTTTCCAAATACTTGGGGCTATTTAGCTCAGGATCATACTCCACCTATCAAAGATCCAAATCTTAAGCTTAATTCCGTGAGAGCCTTCCTTATTTCCAAATATGGAAACCGGATCTGCAGACTGCTTATATTCCCTTATATTTGTATCACTCAAACTAGGGCCGGCCTCTCAATTGAAGATGCCAACCGTAAAGATAGTCAGTCACATGTAGATCCAGTGCTTAATCTAGTTACGCATTATCTCCCAGTTATTAAATTAAATTTAAGATTCAATTAAATCTATTTCCCCCAATATATACCAAAATAAATGAAAACCGGAGCAGGATTTGACGGCAGTTACTCAACATTCAATAAACTTATGTCTTGGTAAAGTAAAATTCAAATTATACAAAGAGAAAGGGATCAATCATCGTTAAAGTCCCAAATGAACAATGCTATTACAGGTACATATTCATATATAATCATATAACATTGGCCTAAGTCTAATTTTCGTCGTATCAGTGCCGGAACTGAAGGAGTCACAAAATTCCAAACATCAAAATAAAGAAGGTGGAACAGAACATTTAGAAACCCTAGACGCCAAATTCATGAAAGTAGTTCGCAAGCATTGTAGAATTGATCGTTACAATGAACTGATGATAAATAGTAACTAAATACCGGGTGTCTTGAAGCTTGGGGGTGGATTTCTTCTCGACAGCGAGGACGATGGTGTCGGTGCCACGGACGCCGACAACGGCGTTGCCTTTCCGTACAGCTTCAAGTGCATATTCAACTTGGAAGAGATGGCCGTCCGGCGAGAACACCGTGATCGCCCTGTCGTATCGAGCCATTTATATATGCTCCGATGAACTTATGTATTTCAGATCTTACTTTTCCGATCTGTGCGATCGGAGAGAGTGCAGAAGAGACAATAGAGTGAACTTGCACTGCAAGGCAGTTGAAATTAAGCCAATCCGTAAATGGTGTCGTATTTTTCTTACCAGCCTACCAAACGGGCCTTAAGTGGGTCTAGAAGAAAAACAGAGGCCCAAAACCTTACTCATGGGTAATCTCTGACTCCAAAATTGGGCCTATCAGAAATATAGCGGGCCAAGGCCTTGCTCAGGGGCAATCTGCCACCATGTGGTGGGCTGGCTCATTTCATGGACTGAAGGGTTGCCAGAACTTATTATTGAGTTTTAATCTCAATCCCCTTCTTAATGTTTCATGCCCAATTTGCCACAGTCCTTCAATGTCTCGCACACGCCCCAAGATCAAGAGCCAATAGCTGTACTTTGGTAAGATCAACAGTACTAAAGCAGCCGAAGGTAAATGGAAGGGTAATTTGCAAAACACACCCTCAAAGTTTGGCTCCAATTCCAATTTGATCCCTGAAGTTTGAGTTTAAATAATTATATCCTTAAAATTTTAATTGAATTACGATGCTGTCTTTTGGTCCAGATCCGTTCAAATCTGCTATCGGAATATCATCACATGATATCAACGTGACATGGCAGAGGAGTACTAACATCCAAACAAAATATTTTCCACCCATGGTTATATTTGATTTTTCATCTTTGATCTATCTGCTAAGGCTAAAATAGAAGCATCAGTGCGAAATATCAACATAAAGACGCTTAGATATTTTTGGTAAAAGAGGGATATATTGAATGAGATTCTTAAACTTCCCTAAAGATTGACACAACAATACGAAAAGAAATGTTAAATGACAATCTCAAATTACAACTTGTCATGTATTTATCTGTTGCTATCACGTGATGATATCCTGTTTGCATATTTCAATAGATATGGACGGAAAGACAACATTGCGACTTAAATCACAATTTTAAGGACTTAATTATTCAAGTTTAAACTTTAGGGACAGAATTCAAACTTTATGGGTGTGTTTTGCAAATTACCCTAAATGGAAATTTCTTCAGCAAACCCACGGTCCATTTCGTTTATTGATCAAACACTGACCAAGTTCATCAACAAAAGTAGAAGAGCGGCAAACCAGATCCTAAATAAGCAACAAACAAATAACCAAACTATGAAAACATAACAGATGGCCATAGGGGTGTTAATCGAGACTAGTTACTTGAGCTTGGCTCGGGTTCGATTCAAATACAATTTAGTTTAAGTTCGACTTGCGTTTTAAACAAATTGAGTTTGAACAATTTTTTAAATTCGTTTAAAAAAATAAGTTTAAAAAGTTCAGCTCAACCTCGCAAAACTCGATTCGTTTATATATTGATTTATTTAATCGGTAAGATGGTAACAGGTAAATCTAAACCCCCACATAGATTAGCCTAGTATTAGAAAGACAATTGTCTATATAAGATTTGTAGCAAGTTGGTCTCCCCACTTAAATCTAGGAACCAGATTTGATACGTGTAGATAAGATCTTGTTGGGGGCAAGAATCCATATTCACATTATTAGGTTTTTAGCCCATGGGTCATATCCCTAATATATCATAGACCTATCTTATCCTCACTAAAGTAACAATAAAATATTTCCAATCATTCAATTGGAAACCCCTCCACAAATTAATCCACAAGTACCACTAGTTTAATCTCAAGTACTAGCTCAAGCTTAGTTGATTTAATAAGACGAACCCCAACCGAACCAAGCCTACTTGTTGGATAAAAAAATTAACAACCCGGATTTGATTTACAAGGCATATGCAACCCATCTCGTATCCCCAAATATAGCATGGCCAAACACTTCCTTTGTCCTTTCAAAACTCTCCTTCCTCTCTTCTGAACTGTAGTTTTATCTACGACATTGAGCTTATATGCTTCTTATCCCGTAAATATATCATATATCATCAGATTCTTACAAANCTTCCTTTGTCCTTTCAAAACTCTCCTTCCTCTCTTCTGAACTGTAGTTTTATCTAAGACATTGAGCTTATATGCTTCTTATCCCGTAAATATATCATATATCATCAGATTCTTACACAAGAGAGAACAAGAAGATAGAAAAGAACAGTACACCAAATTAAACACTTTCAAACCCACTTGCCCACTCCTAGTCCTACCCATTCAAAGTAGGGAATAATAAACACACAAAACCATAAGCTATCTGCCCGTAGCAAAGTCATGCTACTGTACAGTAGACGAGAGTCTATTATCTCCATCAAACTGTCCCTATTGGTACCAACCAACCCATCTACCGTCTGACCATTGATCAAAACCACATGATCAATATGGATTACAATTTACAATGGAGGGTCTATTTGGGTCACCAAAATGGGGCTCCGAACCACATGCTTTCCATCCATCCAAGACAATGACCCGAACACAGCACCCGACTCATCCAACTCCAGATTCTTGCTATCCACAGTTACAGTCACCAAATAGCTCAGTTTCCTCTTTCCCTCCGAGAACACCAAGTTCCACGGTTTGACACTCACCGTCGCTCCCTTGGGTGGCTCAACCTTGACCCTGTACACCGCATTTCTCTCCCCCACATTCGTCACTGTCCTAAGGAACGTCTTGCTTGTTACTCCCATCGATGAGCTCGAAAAAGATGCAACAATTGAAGGATAATTCAGATTCTCTGGCAATGGTTTTTTCATCGGACACTTCACCGGTGTTCGGGTGATCACCTGAATTGTCCTCGGACCATACCCAATGGAGCACAAAAAGCTCACATAATCAGCATTGGTGATATCATAAACAAGTCCGGGATCCATTGCACGATCAAGATTCAACTGCCCAGCACCAAAATCATAGGACGTTGATTGCTTGGCAGTGGATTCATCAGTCATGGGTTTCAACTGATTGTCCACAATGTTAGCAGTTGTCATCATAGCTGATCGTATAGCTGCCGGGCTCCAATCTGGATGAGCCGACTTAAGCAAGGCCGCTGCGCCACTTACATGAGGACAAGCCATTGAGGTACCAGATAGTATATTGAATTCTGTTTTTCGTTTATCCGAATCCAAACCCGTTGGACCAACAGCATCAGTCCATGCTGCCAAAATGTTCACACCAGGAGCTATCAAGTCTGGCTTCAAAATTTCAGGGTTTAGACCATTTGGTCCTCTTCCCGAGAACGAAGCTACCACCGGCGCCGGCTTAATTCCCAGTAAAGTCCCTCGGAAATTAATCGTTGCTGTCGCGAGTGAATTGGAGGTAATGTAGGACTTAATGGCATCGCCTTCATCGGCACCGACGGCACAAGCCGGTAAAAGATGAGCATCACCCACCAAACCTTCACCATTTGAAATTCCGTTAGCTAAGATCATACCTACACCGCCGGCTTTCTTCACAACCAATCCTTTAGCAACCCGGGGATTGCTTCCTCGATCACAGATCACGATTTTACCCTTCACCAGATTAGGATCAAGTGAATTTTCCATACACAGTGAAGCAGAGAGTAATCCTGATCTACCAGGATAAACCAGAGGATACATTTTTCCATTCAGAGGCTGTCCTGCGTATAAGGATACGCCGGCGATTTTCCTCCCGTCGGCGAGAATCACATCGGCCGGAAAATCGCGATCAATGGTGCCGGCTCCAACTGTTGTAAGCCACGGCGCGAGGTTAGTGACGGACATTCCATTAGGTCCATCATTTCCAGCTGAACAAGACACAAATACACCTCTTGAAACAGCTCCATAAGCTCCGATTGCGATTGGATCCAGGTAATATGGCGAAGAAATGCCATCGCCGCCTCCAATCGAGATTGAAATTACGTCGACACCGTCGGAAACGGCGGCGTCGAATGCTGCGAGAATATCGGAATCGAAACATCCCGAATTCTTCCAGCAGACCTTGTAGACCGCTAATCGAGCTTTCGGAGCAACACCTTTGGCGACTCCCGAAGCATAACCTTCCATACTTGCCTGAAAAGCATGTTTTCCGGCAGCCGTCGACGCCGTATGAGTTCCGTGTCCGTCGGCATCTCTCGGAGACCGAAATTCAACGGTTTCATTGATTCCTCCACCCATTCCACCAAAACCGGATGCTGCTTCGTGTCCTTTAGAGAAAAATCGAGCTCCGACAAGTTTTCGATTACAGTTTTTGACAGTAAATTTGACTCCAGCTTCGCAAATGCCTTTCCAGCGAGCCGGAACAGGGCCGAGATTCCGATCGGAGAAACTACGTCGTTCAGGCCAAACTCCGGTATCGACCACTCCGATTATCACATCGGAGCCATAATCGGAATAGGACCATAAACCCTGCTGGTTTCGGAGCCCGAGAAATTGAGGCGACCGTGTGGTATGGAGCTGTCTGCGACGGTCTTCAAATGTCGCGAGGATCGAAGGGTGTTGAAGCACAGAAGCGGCTTGAGATGGAGTCAGAGAAGCAGAGAAGCCATGGAAAACAGTTTCGTATACGTGTAGAATGTTGAGAGGGTCAGTGAACTCAGAGCTGTACCAGTGGTAATGGGTGGGGAAGATGGACGGCTTAGAGTGACTGTCCACTCGGAAAATGTAAGTTTTAACCGTCTGATCAGCTGAAACAAAGAGGGTTTTAACTGGAAACTTGAAGTTGAAGAAGAAGAAGAGACAAAGAAGAAAAGTATGGAGGAGATGTGACGCCATTGGAGGAGGATTTTGAGACTAGACTGATGTTGAGAGTGGAGTACTGGAGTGTGAATGACTGATGAAGACGGAGTTATATAAGAGGGATTATTGTTTTTTCGTTATTATTTTAATTATTCTGATTAATTAGGTAATTAATTAATTTTTCAATTTATGTGTTTAATTATAGATATGATTTTGTCGTTCTAAAGACTTGTTGAATGATGAGTCAGCCCCGTTTTTGCGGGAGGCCATACAAATTCCGAATTTTATCAAAATTTTGTTCTAAAATATTTAAAATAATTAAAATATTTTTA